TTCATGGTCGGCGCCATCATGGATTTCACCGAGCGGCATGGAGGAGCGGTTCCCAGCTTGCCGCTGAGCAGGTAAGCTCAGTGAATAGGTGCAGGTCGTGCCGGTCGGGCACGGACGCACATGGCGGCGAGCCGGGGGTCGTGACGGTTGCTCACTGATCTCTCTCCATTTGTACCTCACTGTGCCCTCTCAACTTGATGCTCACTGTTACCTCTCTATTTGTTCCTCTCCCCATGTTCCTCACTATACTCTTTCCATATGTTCATCTTTGTTCCCCTCTTCATTGTTTTCTTCTGCCCACTTGTTCCTCACTATCCCCACTCCATATGTTCTTCCCTTTTTCCCTTTCCAATTGATTCTTACTGTCCCCTCTCATATGTTCCTCTTTGTTCCCAGCTCTACTTGTTCCTCACTGTTCCCTCTCCATATGTTCCTAATGGATCCCCTTTCCACTTGTTCCCCACTATCCAGTAACAATTCTTACCCGATCAATGCCACCAGTTCCGTGTTTCTAGCAGGTCATGCACATGGAATGCGCTGTTCAGACCCACAAGCTGCTTCAGCAGGCCAATTTGGACACTGCCTGCTATAAGTGCATGTCCTTAAGTGATGACAATTTGTGTAACATCACTTCTGGTTTGGGATTGTTTGCATCAGCTCCCATCAGTGCGTTTCTTAAGTCTTCTGTGTGTTTACTGGTTTTGACCTTGGCTTGTTTATAGGAATATTGAGTGCCTCTGCGTTCTTGACCCGACTTGTTCTATATTTTCTGATTATCTGTATCTCTGACCTTTCTAGTACCTATAGTTTATCCGCCTATCTGTAACCCTGACCTTGGCTAGTAATTGGACTCTGTCTCTCTTTGTTTTATAGGTTAAGCCCATTCTAAGATGCAATAATACAACTATCGCAGTGTTTGGGTATTTCTCATGACATATCCTCTCTCCATATGTTCCTCTTTTCACTTGTTCCTCACTGCCCCCTTTCCATGTGTTCCTCCTTGTTTCTCATTGTTCCCCTTCCTCTTGCTTCTCACTGGTCCCCTCTCCACATGTTTCTCAATGTTCCTCACTCTACTTATTTCTCCACTAAAGTAAAGACCAGCACCTAATGAGGTCATCTCTTGCACCTTCAATCGATTCTCCAGGAATCATCACAAGGAAGCAAGAATAAAGGGGACTCTGACTGCACCCAGTAAAAAGCCACGAAGGACAAGATATCAAGCATTAAGGAACACTTTTCTGAGATCACACTTATCAAAATGTAAGATATTTTAACAGAAGAGTTTGAAAAAGAGACACTACAATCACTGTATGCCAGAACCTTGACTAAATATAAAAATGGAATCTTCTCCCCAAGATGACAAGTGATTTCCACAACATAATGTAATATCTGCTTTTCTCAGAAGTCATCTTGGATTAACCCCTGCTCCCCCAGAGCAATCATGTAAACGCATATTGTTGAGAAACCAACAAATTGTCTTCTATTCAATAATATATACATACATCCCAGCCAGGAGCCACAACAATTTTAAATCTTATTGTGAGTATTAAATTATCCAGCTCCAATAACCATTTATTCGATCTATTTATTCTTACAGAGATAAATGACAGACAGATATCCACGGGAGCTGCACAAATAGGATGATTGCAATAGGATCTGAACAGTAGACAGCATAGTCAAAATATTGTGATTTTTTTTTTTCTACATATTGCATGGAAAAACTGCAATTATCTCGCTCTGCTATAAAGACAGATATTTAGTATATGCCTTCCTACAAATCCGCGTAGAAGTGATTTATGCAATATCTAAAACAAAGTAACATTGCATACAAAAATATAATGAGCCGGTCTATGTCCCTGGTTAAAAAAAGCAAAACAATCTGGGTTTACATGCATTTAGGAATACTCACGATCATTGTCTTAGGGAATCAGTGAAACAGACGCTCTCGGAGCCTCTCTGACATTACAGGCTCAGTTACAGATTAGATTACATTTGATTATGGTTAGATAGTTGCTTGGCAATGACTAACTACAAGCTCCAAGACTGTACCAAATAATGAATGTGCAGTTTTAGCTCCCTTGTACACATTTGTGTTTTCTTTTAGTATTTTCCTATACTTTGCCCTCAAATAAATGTTTTGATTCAACATTATTTCCCTATTCCTAAATTAAAGTGGCTCTGTCACCCCAAACTTACCTTTTCCCATTGTTTCCTCTTCCTTTTCTCTATCAGAATCCATTCTTCTTTTTCTCCTCTCTGAGCTATTTCTCTTAAAAAACATAAGACAAAAGGACTACTTTGCTTTATGTATTTGTCCTCCGTTTGACAATCTTGACCAAAAGGAGGAGCTTAAGGAAGCTCCACTTCCTTTGATAAAACGGAACTGTCATGCCAAACTTACCTTTCTCCTATTATTTCCTCTCCTCTTCTTCTCTCAGAATCTGTTCTTCTATTCTTTATTTCTGATCTAGTTTTCTATAAAACACAAGACAAATTAGGGGCTACTTTGTGTTACGTATTTTTCCTACACCTGACTTTCTCTGAACCAAGAAGGAGCTTACGTCAGCTCCATTTCCTGTGTCAAGGAGAAGGGTGAGTACTTTTTCTGACACAGGAAAAGGAGCTTACTTCTCCTTGGGTCAGAGAAAGTCAGGCATAGGCAAAATATGTAAGACAAAGTAGTCCCTATTTTTTCTTATGGTTTAAAGAAAATTAGATCAGAAATAAAGAAAAGAAGAACAGATCTTGAGAGAGGAAGATAAGAGGAAACAATAGGAGAAATATAAGTTCAGCATGACAGTGCCACTTTAAGTAAACTTTTCTCCCAATACTCACCTTTCCATCCCAGTCTTTTCTCTATATTGTCTTGCAAGATCACCTTCCCACATGACCGCATAGTACTGGTCTCTATTGACCATGCATGGGAATTTGATATCGTTGTGTACTCTGGCCAAAAGAAGGCAGCAATGTTGCGTCACTGCCAGTAATTAGAAGATGGCGGTGTCTGGAGTAAAGATCCGGCGCCATGAAGAATATAGGATGATTTGGGGAGGAAATTTAAATACATAATTAAATTGGGGGGGATAGTAGTGGTCTAGTTGTGGGTGGACCTAAAAAAAGGTATATTGACGTAACAGAGCCCATTTGAATCATTTTAGGGTAGGCACACCTTTAAATTTTTTATTTTTTTAAAAAATAATTACCGTTCAGTTGTAGCTAATTAAAATGCCAAGTTTGTGTAAACAATATTTATTTAACAAATATGTACATAATGTTGCTGAAAAATTAGCAATCAAGTAACCAGCAATAAAAAGATAAACCATTTTTTTTTGTTCTCTAAAGGTTGTGTTGTAATGACTGGGCATGCAAACTAATAACACAGTGTTTTCCCGGCTCTTTAGGGTTGTTCTGTGGTGACTGAGTACATAATGAGAAATTGTCATATTTTGTTGTTAGTAAGGCTGACTTGTGGTGACAGAGTACACAAAACTGAAACTGAAACTGTCATCTGTTGTTTATAAAACCCGGCTCTGTGGTGACTGAGTACACAATGTGCAATTGTGATCGTCTGGTGTCCTTAAGGTAGTTCTCTGGGGACGGGGCGCACAAATTGAAACTGCCATTAATGTGTTGTTATCAAAGATTGGTTTGTGGTCACTGTGTCCACAATATAAACTGTCATCTTCTGTTCTTAGCAAAAACAAGGTTTGTGGTGACGGAAGACAGAAAGGTAAATTGTCTTATCGTTAGTTAGCAAAAGCTGTTTGTGACAGGGTAATTGGTCTGCAATTCTATTTTCATTTCACTGCAATTATGTGTCTAGTGATTAAATCACAAAGTAAAGTTAGCTTGTAAACATAGGGTTTTAATCACTAAACGTAGAAAGGAAAAAAAGGGTAGGCTACAATGTTGAACTAGTCAACATTGAACCCCAGAGAAGGTTATGGAGGTACTCAAGGGCACGAACCCTGGATATACTAGAGAGAGAAAACATTTTTATAAAGTGGAGTGAGAGAACCACTCACTCAAAGTAGGCGGTCCCCACTCCACTTGAGAGGACCTCCAGGAATTAAAATATCATTGTAGTGGGATAAACCTTATTAGGACTTAGACCTTTTTCGACTTGGAGGGTTTTGGTACTATCTCTTGGTCTTTACCACTATAGGCACGAGGGTACTACCTATTAGTTACGGGGGGATAGATGTGTGATAACTCAGCTTTTGGCGGGTATTTGTAAATCAGCTACCCCCAATTACACGTACATCTACTCAGTAACTACATCGATATTTAACCCGCTCCAACCTTGGAGTCCATGTGGGTTTAAGGTATGTGCTGTCTGGATGGGGGTTTATTGTGTTGTCTGCACCTGCTAAACGCAGGATTGTGTATTTACTATCGTTAAGGACTTAATATATACATTATATGAGCAACTTTGTTCAATTTTATGTATCCTTCAACATTCACAATAGAGTGAAGCTGATACATAATGCGAGACTAACACTCTACTACAGTCTCTCTATTTCTCAGACCTAATTACTATTTATTTATTTCAGAGGTTCCCATTTGTTTACCAATCCACTAAAGGATCTATTGTGCATGTACACAGGTTCCTCTAATATATTAATTTGATACTTGAGACAAACTCTCCCAGATTTTAAAGGTGTACTAGTATGGTTTATTTGATTTTTCTACATCACTTGGGTTTGCACATTTAAACTTATTTTTGTATTTCATTTTTGTACTCATTAGTTCCTGATTCGCTATATAGATCAATAAAGGTTTATACCACTACAATGATATTTTCATTCCTGGAGGTCCTCTCAAGTGGAGTGGGGACCGCCTACTTTGAGTGAGTGGTTCACCTACCCCACGTTATACATTTTTAATCACTAAACATCAACCTGTAGAGAATTTAAAATGAATTGCAAAATTTAAATCCATTTCAAATCAGCTACAATGGCTTAAATTGTGCAGTTCGACTTCAATTCAGTGTTTACTAACTAAATCTCACAGTGCAATTCTCTGCTATATTTGTTAATGAAGGCTGAGCTGTGGCGACTGGGTTCCAAACACGAAAACGCATAATTTCATAACAAGTTTTACTGATGATCGGCCGTCATATACAACTGTTGATCTTCAATCACCGTCCACTGTTTGTGCATCAATATCACTTCCACTCAAACTCTGAGCCCCACCCATCATAGATGAAAACTAGTGACACAAATCAGGAATAATGTCCCCGTGCAATGTTTATTGGAACCGACAGGCACAAATGTATCACAGCTCTATTAGTCTTGTGAGAAAAAAAATAATACAATTAACATTCGTTTCCGGGGTTCGATTCTTTTTTTTTTTTTTTTACAATAAACAAATAAAAAATATGCATTTATAACAATTAGTTTTATAATAAAATCTCACTTTAACCCCTTCACAGTACAATATGCTGCTACCCTAACTGTCTCTTTCAAAGGGGCCCCTCTTGTGAGCACCACAGCGGTGTACAAGCAATCCCCTGGCACTCCAAAGGTTAACTCTTTGAACTGGAAAAATAATTATTGACTTAAGAAGCTATTTACACGTCAAGCCTCATTTTCTGTCTGCTGGCTGCAAAATATTAATATAAAACAAAAGAGATTAGCTGAGCAGATGCTCTGCAGTTGTAGTTTGTAATTTATTCGATAATAATCCTGGCTTTTTGCCCTCTGAGACTGCATACAATGTTCTTAATATCTGTGATATACTATGATCTGAATTTACTATATGAGATACAATTATCTTTGATAATAAAATACCCATTTGCCTATATTCTACAACAGAAAAGTTGGAGTTAAAAAGCAGAAAAACGATGTAGAAGATAATAGAACGTTAGTGTGTAGAGTTCAGTAAACACAGTTATTGATAGTAAGACACTACACTATATCTCTAGCTCTATCTCATCTAATCTCATTCTTCGTGCTCTGTCTTTTCTCTACAATATTGTGTTTTTACGAAGCAGACCATCTGTTAATCTCTTTGTAGCATCGTCTACTATAATCCTTCTTTTGTGCTTCGACAAAGCATCTTCCAGTTAGTTACTTTATCAGAAAGTAGGGACATGTAAGCTCTTGGAGCAAGAAAAAAAAATAAAAAAATATTTCCTCGAATTCAAAACCCAATATAACAGTGCAGACAGCACCTACCTGTACATACGCCATCTTCACTCAAACTGCCATCAGTTCACAGTTTTGCCTGAACATGACGATTCTCTTCTCTCTTTGCCCTCAAAAAAGAAAAATAAATAAATAAATAAAATTACACAAGAAAAAAAAAAGAACTTGACTTGTTTAGCTGATCAGCACAGAGCCGATCGACCCTCCTTCTCGTTCATGGTTAGACTTTACTTGAGCAGACAGGTCTCTTCGAACTAGTTGTGTGGTGCTTTTTACATCAGATGTAGATTGCATATTTCGGGGGTCATTGTGAGTCTGCCTCTGTCAACGGGGTCCTCCTTCCATCACTTGCTGATTCTAATGCTTTGATTAAAGTGGTTTATTTTATTTATTTTTGCCGTCTTGTGCCACTTGCTTTTGAACGGTGTCGATCTCTCCGTTGCAGACTCACTGCTGCCACCTGCTGTTCACATACATTATTTGTTTTGTTTCTTTTTTATTAAAGAGCACCTGTCATGCCCCAAACAACATTTGCTCATTAGATTGAGCATAACATATTATCTATGCTTGTGCTAGCAGTTTTACTAGCAAATGTCTAGATTAGGAGCAAAACCTATTTAAAAATATTTTTTTTCCCTCCTAGCTGTCAGTCAATGTCTCAGTGGGGAGAGCAGAAAATATCTCCCAAAGGAGGACCCTTTGCAATCCTTCCATATCAGTCATAGCGCGTGTGCTGAGATTGCTATGGAAATTGCCTAGCCGGCGCTAGAAGTACAGGAACAGAGTCATGTGACGTCATTACATTCCGATGCCTGCATGCTGGCAACAATGTCAATGACAAGATCAGGGCCGGTGCAAGGATTTTTGCCGCCCCATTTGCTCCAATCGCTCATGCAAACTGACATACACTGACCCACGCAGACGGACGCACACTCACTGACACACACAGACTTACGCACACACTGACCCATGCAGACTGACGCACACACACTGATGAATGCAGATTAACACGCACACACACTGACCCATACAGACAAACACTGACCCATAAAGACAAACACTGACCCATAAAGACACACACTGACCCATATACACAAACACTGACCCACACAGACTGACATACACAAATTCTTCACAAATACTCATTCCCCATTGACCCACTTACCTTACTTAATATTTGACTGCTTGTCATGTGTTCCTGGCCGCTTCCTTGTGCCTGGCCGCTTTCACTGCGTGTCAGCCACACCCCTGCTATGCTCCCGCCCACTTGTCCCCAGGGCAATGGGAGTGCTTGTGGGGGGCCAGGCTGAGCAGGCTGAAGTGGGTGCCGCCGGACCAGTGTTACACCGGGTGCTAGTCAGCAGACATATAAGTGTCCCTAGTGCCCGGTAACATGGCCGGCGGCACGATTTTTAGAATTATTAAAACATAGAGGGGCGGCCGAATGGGCAGAGCAGTAAAGCTCCTGCTGGCCCCCCCTTTAAGCAGCACCCTAGGCGGCCGCCTACTTGGCCAATAGGATGCGCCGGCCCTGGACGAGATTTATCCTATTTGTGGATGCGTCCCAAGCAGGACAACTCAAAGAAGAAGCGGCGCACCGGAGGCAGGTGTTACGTGAAGAGTAAGACTCACGAAGCATCACTGTAACAGAGGAAAAGTGAGTAAATCTTTATATTTTACGTTGAATACACCATGTATCTTTATGATATATAATATATTCTATCTATATTGAAGTGATTAAGTTGTCATTTTTCCATTACAGGTTCACTTTAAACTCCCTGAAGAATTCTGGACAGAAATGGATGTAAAGCAAATCAGTACTGCTACGTTTATTAAAATCATTTATCTTGTTTTTGCTATTATTATTATGTAAAGATTCTATCCTCATCAATTGCTAATAAAATAAAAATGCAAAGCATAACAATTTATAATGTTAATTTGCTGGGAACAAAATAACATTTCAAAAAAATACATCAACAGACACTTTACCTATCCTTAGGCATTATTGAGCAATATTTAAGTAATATTTGATTATTAAATCACGAGTTATGTTGAATTGACAGATATGCCACAAAATGAAGCTAAAATAGTCAGGTTGGAATTAATCTCTAAAATATAGCATGGAATTGTTAAATGATTGCTTTAAATAGCATTGATTTGTTTTCTATATAAAATGTAAATGTTATTTTGGTACAGATTGTATTTTGCATTTATTAGTTTTTAGGTGTGTTTAATAAAACACAGAAAGTGTGACCAGCATTAGTAATAGGTAAATTAATGAGAACGTTAATGTCATTAGTGTTAAGTCTCGGTCTGCTTTCTGTAATAGCTAAAACCACCATCAATAATAGAAATTACCATACGAAGCAACAGGTGTACAGGTTCAAGACCTGTAAAAATTGACTGCACAGTGACACCTAGTGGACAATACTGATAGGAACGTGGTGACGTAAAATGCAATATCGTAATAAAATACAATATGTTGTAATCTTTTAAGGGTCAATATGAATTATGAAGGGACTATTTGTTGATATATGTGTCCATTTAAAAGAAATTAAAGGGGCACCTAATGCACTATAACCACTTAATTTCATTGAGGTTGGAGTCCCCTAGTTCTGCTCTGAAACTGTTTGACACCAAATGACGGTTCTTGGGTTCTCACATTGCTGTTCCAACTGGAGATATAGCAAAGACAGAGATTACACTTAGCCACACCAATTTATACCAACGCTAGGTGGCTGTGAAAGTGGATACCAGCCAGCTGACGCTCCAAAATGATAATAGGTGGTGCGTATTACTGCTTACGCTAAGGCTGATGCTAAAGGGCAAGGCAGTAGGCTTGCAAAGGCTCACATTTATATGTTTAATTTAACGCTAAATGCAGGGACAGCATCAGGGAACACCAGGCACTATAACCACTTCAACAAAATTCATATTTTATTTTAAATTTACAAAATGATACAGTATTTTCATATTGTCAGGATTAATCACTAAAGTGAGACATGTTAGAAGAAAATTGACAGAAATTCAAAGTGAGGAGCATTGGTTTGCACGATAAAGAAGAGTCTAGGTGTTGTCGCGGGAGGTGTATCGAGCGGTTGCAGGGACTGAATCTCGACACTGGAAAAAAGGCGAGTAAAATATTTTTTATTCCATTTTTTTATTTAGGCAGAATTAATATTCCTAACCCTATTGTGTTACATTAAAAACTAAAAGACCACTGCACCTACACCCCTTCATTGAGATAAGGTTCCGTTAGCCGCCCTTTAAATGTTGCCGCTTTAACAGACTATTGAAATATCGAAAAACGTTTAAGTACAACTAATTACAATCTCCTTCTAGTTGAATTCATTGATTAAGGATTTGCACCGTTTTGTAATTGTTAACTTTCTGAGCAGAACAGCTGTCGTAATTGGTATCTGTTCCTACCATACATCTTGCATGATCTTATTGTGTATTATCAATGTCTAGTGTTTGGCCATATAACTATAATGAATCAGACCATGTTAACATCTGTCCTCCTCCTTCTCTTCAGATAACTCTCTAAATTCGGGTTATCATTGTTGCACATGATAATAATTTCTTTCCTCGTCGCAGACAATTCCCATTCGTAATTACTATTTTTAATCTACAAATATATAACAGGCCATCTCAAGAATACTCCAAATTTAACAGAGCATGTGTCTTAAAGATTTGTAAATTGAACACCCATCTTTCTCTTGTGAAATGGCATTAAATAAAGTAACTTGAATTTACCTTGGTTTACAGTAATTTCCATTTACATTATGTTTCTTAGAACTCTTATTATTAGCCATAATTTGGTATACTCTGACACACAACCAGTGTTGTTGCCTTGGAGTTATATGATGGCTTCCCAAAAGTTTCCATGCAGGAGAATTTAATGTTACATATGACTAGTAGGACTATCTTTCTACTAATCTTTTTAATGATTCTTGCTTGGTTGGACTAGACCTCCTCTCTGTCAGGATTGCAAGTTTGTATACAGGGCTGGTGCAAGGCTTTTTGGCTATACAGACTAAGATGAATTTTCCTGCCACCCTAAAAAAAAGCATCTTCACCTGTGTGTCTCTAACCCACCCCTCTTTTGAATTTCATACCCAGTTTTGTGTTTCTTATCCCCTCTTTCTAATGTCTTACCTCCTTTTTTTCCTCTTTGTATGTCTCTTACAACCTCCCTTGTGTGTCTCTTCCCCTCCCCTTTGTGTGCATTTACCTCCTCTAGTCCCTTTGCGTGTCTCTCACTTACTCCCAAACCCCAATGTGTGTCTTTTACTACCTTCGGCTACTTAGTATCTTTGTGTGTCTTTCCCCACCCCTTTGTCTGTCCCTTACTTCCTTCAGCCCCTTTGTGTGTCTCTTTATCCCCCAGCCTCTTTGTGTCTCTTACTTCTCCCTGTCCCTTTGTCTGCCTCTAACTTCCCTCCAGCCCATTTGTGTGTCTCTTGCTTCCTTCAGCCCCTACATGTATCTCTTACTTCCCCCCAGCCAATTTGTGTGTCTTTACCCCCCTCTTGTGTGTCTCTTACATCCAGCTGAGGGACAATGCAGGTGGCCAGCTAAGGGAGAATGGAGCCGGGTGACGAGGGAGCACTATTTTTTAAGCTCTTCTAGCTCTGCTCCCTCGCAACCCTGCAGTCATGCTTGGATCATGGATATGATGTCACTTCAGCCAGAGCGCAAGGGAGCAGATCAAGCAGAAATTGAAGATTACAGGATTTCCACTGGACCCCACGGAAAGGATCCACTCCAGCCAGGGGCGGACTGAGAGCCTTTGGGGCCCCCGGGCAAAATTAGATCCCAGGCCCTCTGAAGGCCAAATATATGTGCATTAAATAAATGTTAAATATAATTCATAATACGGCATTCCTTTGGATGTGTGTATTGTGAAGACCTGTGTATCAATGCATGTTTGTATTTGAGTCTGTGTGAATGCACTTGTGCATGTCTGGATGACTAAATGTGCTTTTTTGTATATAGGGTCAGTGTGAATGCATATGACAAGTGACAGAGTGTGTGAGGGAGAAGGTGACAGGTGGAAGAGTGTGGGAGGTTGTGACAGGTGGCAGAGTGAGGGAGGGGTTGAGTGGTGGCAGAGTGAGGGGGAGACAGTGAGTGGGTGTGACTGGTGACAGAGTGAGGGAGTGGGTGACTAGTGACAGAGGGAGGGAGATAGGGGTGACTAGTGACAGAGTGAGGGAATGGGTGACTAGTGGCAGAGTGAGGGAGGGAAGAGATGACTAGTGGCAAAGTGAGGGAGGGAAGGGGTGACTAGTGACAGAGTGAGGGGGGGTGACTGTCACTAGTCACCCCATCCCTCTCTCTGTCACTAGTCACTCCCTCCCTAACTCTGTCACTGTGTCACCCGCTCCCTCACTCTCACTGTCACTCCCTCTCTCTGTCACTAGTCACCCCATCCCTCTCTCTGTCACTAGTGTCACTGTGAAGGAAGGAAGGGGTGACTGGTGACAGAGTGAGGGAAGGGATGACTAGTGGCAGAGTGAGGGAAGGAAGGGATGACTGGTGACAGAGTGAGAGAGGGGGTGACTAGTGACACTAGTCACCCCATCCCTCACTCTGTCACTAGTCACCCCCTCTCTCACTCTGTCACTAGTCACCCCCTTCCCTCTCTCTGTCACTCCCTCACTCTGTCACTAGAGTGAGGGAAGGGGTGACTAGTGGCAGAGTGAGGGAAGGAAGGGGTGACTAGTGACAAAGTGAGGGAGGTGGTGACTGTCACTAGTCACCACCTCCCTCACTCTGTCACTAGTCACCACCTCCCTCTGTCACTACTCCCTCCCTCCTTCTGTCACTAGTCACCCCCTCCCTCACTCTGTCACCTGTCACCCCCTCACTCTGTCACCTGTCACCCCCTCACTCTGTCACTAGTCACCCCCTTACTCTGTCACTAGTCACCCCCTCACTCTAGTGACAGAGTGAGGGACAGGGTGACTAGTGACAGAGTGAGAGAGAGGGTGACTAGTGACAGAGTGAGGAAGGGGGTGACACAGTGACAGAGTGAGGGAGGGGGTGACTAGTGACAGAGTGAAGGAGGTGGTGACTGTCACTAGTCACACCCTTCCCTCCCTCACTCTGTCACTAGTCACCACCTCCCTCTGTCACTACTCCCTCCCTCCTTCTGTCACTAGTCACCCCCTCCCTCACTGTGTCACTAGTCACCCCCTCACTCTAGTGACAGAGTGAGGGACGGGGTGACTAGAGACAGAGTGAGAGAGAGGGTGACTAGTGACAGAGTGAGGAAGGGGGTGACACAGTGACAGAGTGAGGGAGGGGGTGACTAGTGACAGAGTGAAGGAGGTGGTGACTGTCACTAGTCACACCCTTCCCTCCCTCACTCTGTCACTAGTCACCACCTCCCTCTGTCACTACTCCCTCCCTCCTTCTGTCACTAGTCACCCCCTCCCTCACTGTGTCACCAGTCATCCCCTCACTCTAGTGACAGAGTGAGGGAGGGTGTGAGTAGTGACAGAGTGAGGGAGAGGGTGACTAGTGACAGAGTGAGGGGATGATTAGTGACAGAGTGAGGGAGGGAATGGGTGACCAGTGACAGAGTGAGGGGGGGTGACTAGTGAGGGAGGGGGTGACTAGTGACAGAATGAGGGAGGGGGTGACTAGTGACAGCGGGAGGGAGATGGTGACTGTCACTAGTCACCCCATCCCTCCCTCTGTCACTAGTCACTCCCTCCCTAACTCTGTCACTAGTCATCCCCTCCCTCACTCTGTCACCAGTCACCCCATCCCTCCCTCTGTCACTAGTCACTCCCTCCCTAACTAGTCACCCCTCCCTCTGTCACTAGTCACACTCTCCCTCACTCTGTCACTAGAGTGAGTGGGTGACTAGTGACAGAATGAGGGAGGGGATGACAAGTGACAGAGGGAGGGGGTGACTAGTGACAGAGCGAGGGAGGGGGTGACTAGTGACAAAGTGAGGGAGGGAAGGGGTGACTAGCGACAAAGTGAGGGAGGGAAGGGGTGACAGAGTGAGTGAGGGAAGGGATGACTAGTGACACAGTGGGGGGTGACTAGTGACAGTGAGGGGGGTGACTAGTGACACAGTGAGGAGGTGACTGGTGACAGTGGGGGGTGACTAGTGACACAGTGAGGGGGTGACTAGTGACAGTGAGGGGGTGACTAGTGACAGTGAGGGGGGGTGATTGGTGACAGTGAGGGTGGGTGACTGGTGACAGTGAGGGGGGGGGGGTGATTGGTGCCTACCTGTCTCTCTGCTTCCTCTCCCAGGCTGCAGCTCCTTCCCCTCCTGGCTCTGTGTGAAAGGAGTAAACAGGAAGTGAGGTCACTTCCTGGCCCCGCCTCTCCCATCACACAGAGCCGCATGGGAGAGGAAGCGGAGACCTGGCAGGGAGGAGGTGAAGCTGCCAGGTCTCATGGGGAAAGGGGGGGAGTGTGAATAGCAGAGCGGTAGATTGTGGGGGCCCCGCGCTGCATCAGGGGCCCCACAACCTATCAATGAAAACGTTTTATTTTATTATTTTTTGCCGTTCCAGTTGGAGAGATCTCTGATCTCTCCAGCTGGAACAAGGCTGTGCTGCCGGGCCCCTGACTGCCTCGGGCCCTCGGTCCGTGACCGATATGCCCGAGTGGTCAGTCCGCCCCTGTATGTGGGTAAGGGTGCTGTGTGTGTGTGATGGGTGCAGTGTGTGTGTGCTGTGTGCTGTGTGTGAGTGGGTGCTGTGTTTGCGTGAGAACAAGCAGCCCAAGAAATGACAAAGAGACACAAAAGTACAATAAGTAAAAATATTGGATTTCTAGTGCTTGTTAATTGAAAGACTGGTGACATGACTGATGATATCATCTGTGAGTTTTTTTTTAATTTACTAGATATTTAAACATAATAGGTCCATATTTATGTAACACTATGAAAAAGCCTGTGTGAAGGTGGAATGCTTTAGTGTTGATACTATACTTTTGGCTTTATTATTTTGGTTATAATTTTTATTTTATTTTTTGGGAATTTTGGACCTTCCAGTTTTTATCCCTGAAGATTATTACCTTGAGGATTTATACTTTGGTTTCCTAGGTGGGAAAATACCACCTAAGCTATATAGGATTTAGCATGAATTTACTGTGCTCTCCGTTTGTGAGTATACCTCCTTTTTATTATTTTATTTTTTAGCTATACAGAGAGCACCATCTTCTGTTTTTATTTTCATTTTATACGCTGGTGAACTCTCACTGTGACAAAATGGAATATTGAAAGAGACCACTTCTATGAAGCTGACCACTACTCACTTCTGACCGGACAATTATACCTTTCCACATATGATCAAGACTGAGATCAAGATCAACATATTCACAAAAGGGGAAGCATCCAGGTGCATATATCTGGAGCTGATTTCAAGCTCCAGGAGATTGTAAGTGCATTTCCTTTCTTTTATTTATAATCACCAGCATCAAAAATACTACACCATATTCCATTTTATTTGTCCTCTTGTTTTATACATCGTACCATCTTTATTTGAATTGAGGACACTTGTGAAGGCGCTGCTTCCCAACATTCCATTGTATAAACTGAGATTTTTATAGGAACATATTTTATGAAAAAAAAATATTTAAGTTGGTTTGTTAATTATAACCATAAGTTGTAGAAACTGTAAATCATACATTTATTAATTTATTAATTATTGGCATAGTAAAATGTGTTAGCTTTTTATTAATTATGTATTTAATGTAGGCAGGTGGGAGGCTTTTCATATTCACCCACAACTTTGAGTGTAAAAACAAGATAGTAACCTGCATACTAGAAAGATACATTGTATTTACTGTATCTACTGCATATAAAATATGAGTGTGCAACGAATTGAAGGAAATCTTGTCCCTCTGTAATGCATGAGTTATTGTGATTAAATGTTCAGGCACATTGCGTGTGTCAAGCACTGGAATGCACATTGCGTGTGTCAAGCACAGTATACATAAACACAGTCCCAAACTAACAGCTTTTTTAGATATTTATACAGAGGCAAGAGTCAAGTCGGAAAAGAAAGCAAGATGAAACGGGTATAGTGAATACTAGTGAGCACTTAATATAATTTGCCCATTATTAACATTGCACTTGGTAGGAGACAGACTATAAGAGAGAACTGACCTATAAGAAGCCTGCATACTGGAAATATCTCAGATTTTGCCTGGACTTGTGACCATGGATTCTACATAGTAGAGACATTCTGGCTATTGCACTCACCAGATAATCCAGGTGCTCCAAAGCCAGGGCTGGCCAGGTCTCCCTTCCAAGATATGCAGAATAAATAACAGTTCAGGCACTCCGGGATAACAGAAATAGCAGCTTTATTGGGACAAAAGTAGCAATGTTTCAACCCCATTGGGTCTTTATCTAGCTTAATAAAGACTCTGTATAATCAAAATGTTGCTGCTTTTGCCCCAATAAAGCGATTTCTGTTATCCCGGAGTGCCTGAACCATTATTTATTCTGCATATCATGGATTCTACATAGACTTGATTACAACTAAATCGACTCTATAGAACTATACAGAATTTTCCAGCCTATGAGGCAAAAGCACATTTGTAAAAAATATTGCAATATAGTTTGTGTTTATTAATTATTTTATTATGCCATGATTTTATGTTTTTCTTTACTTTCAGAGCTGCACATTGTTTAAATCCTTAAGCCCAATTTGAAAAGGTTATTTGTGTAATATTCATATTTATCTGTTTTTCCCAATTAACTTATATACACTATTTTGTGTGAACACTGGTGCTTGGCATCCTTTTATTTAGATATACGGTGTATAATATAATAAAGTCCAATTAAATATCTAAATGTATTTTTGTAATTAGTGATTATAATAGAATAATATTTATTTTGTTTCAAAAAGCATACATTCCTTTAATTCTAATGAAAATTTATTTTTCTACAAACTAAATTTACAGTATGTCTGAAAATGTTCTACAACATATGCTTTATTTGTGAGAATGTATCACATCTTAAGCTAAGATCCAAAAAAAAATATTGTTATCAGAATGTAAATAGCAGATGCTTTTAAAATTCTATTATATTGTAATATGGATAATTTGAAACAATTTATATCATATGCTACAAGATTTTTGTTTTTCTCCATGAGATAAGATGCTATGCTTTTTAGTATAAAGCAGGTCAAGGAGAATATACTCTGATCAGCCACAACATTAAAATCATCTGCCTAATATCATGCAGATCTCCCTCCTGCTGCCAAAGAAGCTCTGATGTGTGGAGCATGGACTACAGAAGACCTCTGTACATGTCCTATTGTATCTGGCATCAAGACATTACCAGCAGATCATTTAAGTCCTGCAAATTATGAGGTGGGGCTTCCAGCGCTGTATTTACCACAAGGCTAACAAGGCATTTGCCTTGGGCAGCACTGCGACGGACCGCCAGTATATTGCCACCACGGATTCACTTTCCCAAAATGAAGTAGCTCTATCAACAATGAAAGTGAATATCGCTGGTATAGTTTACCCACCATACATTAGTCGAGACTAAATGCTGCAAGTAGATCTGTTTATTTCAGGCAAGCACTCTCAATTTATACACACAGTAAACTCCTTCCTGTGCCTGAGAGATAATTGAGTCAGGAAACTTAGAACTCAATTATCTCTCAGGTACAGAAAAATATAACAAATTTTTCAACACCCCAAAAGTACACCCAAAATACAGGGAAACTCCTCCCCGGATAGCCCTGATCTGAGCGCCAAACATATCAAAAAAGCGCTCAGATTGGTGGTTTGGAATCGCCACTGGGGTAAAGTTTTGACTGGCCAGCCATGAGGAAGCAGCCCCAAATAGTGCAAAATAAACAGTGGCAACAACCGGTCTCAGTTCAAGGGTTTCTATACGAAAACCACAAAAGATATCCCATTGCTTTCA